TGAACCATCAAAATAAGGAAAATGTACTCGGCACAGACAAACCTTTGTTTCATAAAAAACTGTGTCAACTTTGTCTGCCTCGTCATCAGAATTGATGCTAGAACAATCTTCAACCCTATGTGGTTGACGCTATCGCAAGAACTGATGCAGAACTCCGCGAAGACAGCGAGGGCTTGGCGGCCTCCTGCGCAGTGCGATGTCGCGTCGGCTTATCTTGAATGTCATCTTCGGAACAGTGATTCTTATCCTCTTCAAGCACTTCTGATATTATGTCATCATCAGTCGGCAAACTAGCAATGGCCACACCCATCATCAACGGGCACAAACACAGCCCAACAACGTAATGACGGTTTCTATGTCAAAGCGCCAACTCTCCTAACACTCAACTCTTTTCATGTACCCGAGCTGCACACACTATGCGCGAAGTTACAATGTAAAGAAATCAGCAGCATAGGAGTCACGGGTAACTGAAATAGCGGCGGCTGCGCAAACTGTCCGCACATGCAGCGCTATTTGTGGCGCATTTCGCAGACACTGGATGCACCGGCGGCCCAAGCGCTTTCGCTGGGTGGTGACTAGCGCCACCTGGCCACTTCCCCCCTCATTCTCTATTGTCATGATCATATTCTGCTGCTGTTAGTTCAGTTTCGGTTTCTTCAAAAACTTTGGTTCCGCTGCTGTAACCGACGGCGGAGCCGACTCTCCATGCTTTCAGTGACTGGAATCTGTTACTGAAAGCATGGAGCCTCGTTAGCCCTCTCTGGAATCATCTGAGTGTACCGGTGCGCGTCTAAATCCCTCCGAAATAATGAGCATTTGACACCATTGATATATACACAGTTTTCCCGGGACCGCGCCGAGTGTCCGAGTTAACCGAATTTTCGAGTTAACGCGATCCGGATAAACGAGCTTTTACTGTACAGTCGAACACGGTTATATGGAACCCACATATATCGAATTTTCGGGTATATCGAACTCGCAAGTTTTCCCCTTGAAATTTCTTTGTAAAAATGTAGAAATTCGCATGTTTATATCGAACGGTATTTTTACCCGCCCTCGGATATATCGAACGCCGCTTGTGCTAGAACCCCCCCCCCCCCCCTGTGGCAGCGCGGCTCCGCGGGCGAGTTTGAAGGCGCGTTGTTGCACCCGCAGCGCCCAGTGACTTCCCCGTGGCCCCACGCCTCCGCCAAAATAAACACTCAAAAGGTAAGGGCAAAAGGGTTCGGACTGCACAATAACTTGCGGAACTTTTTTTTTTGTTTCTTTTTCTATATCTCATGCTTTCGCTACGTACGCATCAGCTCGGAGAGCAGCAACCTACGTCCTCCTACTTTAGCATTTTATTTTTTGTTGGTTTTCTGAGGTTTGATTAGCCGACCACAGCTCGCGCCTTTTGCTGTTGCCGTCGCTGGTAGCCATCGCCTCGCGAGTGCTTCGTTGCGCTCATGCTTTGTTGCTCTTGAGCTGTCGTGTCGCCTACGTACCACCGCATGTTGCAGCATTTCTCTTTTGCATGCGTGGTGTGCAAAGCCGCTTCGGACTCCTTCAATTGTCGACTTCTCGTGTAGCTGTGGCAAGCATCAAGAAACGCAAGACCCTTGACATTACGACGAAGTTGAAGGCTATTCAGCATGTTGAGGTGGGCGAGAAATGTTCTATCGACGTAGACGTTTTCAGGATACCACGGAGCACTTGAGTACCTTGTTGAAAAAAGAGGCAGATATCAAAACAAAGGCGGCGGAGCAGCAGACTTGAGGAGCCTGTCATGTGCGCGCTTCTGCCCACGGGAATGTAGAAAAGGCACTTTATGCCTGGTTTTTAGAAGTGCGCCCGGACGACTCATTTCGTGAGTTGTGATAAGATAGACACTAGCGTCAACATTTCGAAAACGAAGAAGCAGGCCAAGATTAGAGATTTTTTTTTTTTTCAAGCAAATAAACCATTCTGTTGTGGCGTGTGTGCGGAATTGTCATTCTTGAATGCACCTATTTTAGGTGATGATCTGCTACAGGCAAGCTCTCGTGGCCTCTATTTTTTTTTTATATCGAATTCTTCATATATCAAACTAATTCGCGATCCCCTTCAAGTTCGATATATCAGTGTTTGACTGTATTTTATACAGCAAAATGTTTCTGTTCAGACAGCCACAGTTGGTGCTTTTGAAATAAAATCATATTTCATTAATTTTGCGGGCTTTGCTTAAATGAAATTTCTCATAAATGGAACAAATTTTCTTGCCCCTTTGAGTTCCATTTAAGAAGAGTCTACTGTATATACTAGTTAAACAAGGACAGTAACTTCAAGACGAAAATGCGTTGTCGTCGTCTCCAACCCTTCACGGGAGATATGAATTTTCTAGTCTGCAAACGCGGTTATGGCATGCTAGGAAGTACAGCTTGAAGTGTATGGTGCATTTTCCACACGCGAATAAGCTCGACGTGCTTTGAACGCCGGCGTTGTGAGCCACCATGTTGGTTACAACAACAACGACACATGAAACATTTTTCTGCCTTGAAGTTGCGTTGTCCTGCCGATGGATATCCGGTGCCGTCGCCGGGCCATTGGGCGCGTGCCATTATTACTTGATCTGTTCGAAAGTGCCTTGCAAGCGAGCAAAGAAATTGTGCTCGAAACCTAACTCCCACCGTGAATTAAAAAGAAGGGGAGTCGGGGCGGAGAGGTTGCTGTTTGAAATTTTTTTGGTCTTGTTCTAAGCCATGCAGAACGTGGTTAAAAGGCCCGAAAAACGCCTCCGATATTTTTTCAAGCATTTCTAGTAACGCGCGCATCGTGTGCGGAATGCCGTCACTATCAACGATTCTACATGTGGCAGCTCTATGAGTAGCCGGGGCGCCTCAAATTCTAAAAAAGAATCCCTCCTTTTTTCCGGGCCTTTCGGGCCTCCGCGTGACGAGCCGTGCCACATCTGACTCACTGATCCAAATATGCTGTGATTGGTCGAGCAAAAGCCTACGACTTCCGGTCAGTCTTCAAGCAGCTGTCCGCACTGCTTGTTATTCGTCGTGTTGCACACAATGCGTGCGGGGCATGGCGTGTCCCTATCCTTTGAAAGCATGCGCACAACGCAGGGTTCATACCGGCACGATTACGGAATCTACGGTTCAGCAATAAGCACGCAGCTACAACACAACTGATGGAGTTAACAGCCAGAGTCGCGGCAAACGGAAGTAGGCAGTATTTCAAGCAGCATGTCAGCAATGACGTATGCCACGCGAAATTGGGAGGGGCTTGGGAGGGGTGCTCGGCGTGAAGCCAAAGCGACATTAAAGAGGATACCATCGGAGAGAAGCGCAGGCGAGGGTGAAAGGTGTGGTTGCCGCGGTTTCGATAATCAAATGCGTCTAACTTTCCTATTACTACACTGTTTCGAAAAAAATCTCACGGCTTTGTGTTCGGCGTACACTCGTGCACAGTTTCTCCACCACAACTTAATTTCAACTTCTAGGTGGTTTACGGGCCTCTAAAGTTACCTTCGTCGCAGTACACCATTGCCTTGTGTATAAGCGCATTGAGATTTGGAAGAGACTGTTAGCACTAGTCACGGGGCTCGGCACACTTTGTTCATTTATTTATGCATGTATGCGCTACGTTAATAACAGTGCTAGTATGATCTCAGACATGCAAGAAAAGTTACTGGCTATAATTTCATGCATTGTATGATATTTCTGCTGCCTTAAAATAAAATTGTGCTCCAGTGATTTTTTTTCTCGCCATTTTACTATTCTCCCGGATTTACTATTCTCCCGGATGGCACGCTTGGCAGAGTCACATTTCAATTCGAAGCCTGCCAAAGATTTGAGAGCCGCGGCAAATGCTAATGTGGACTTCATCATTATTTTCTTAGTGAGCGGGGGGGGGTTAAAATACTACTTTCATTGAAAAAGCAGTGCTCATGTTCTCTGCACCATTTAAGTGAAATGGAATAGTTTGTAAATATCGTTTTTTTTTTTTTCTGAACTTAAGCCTGTTTTTTATACTGCTCCAAATTTGGTCTTTCATGATGAAAATGGCTGTCTTTTCTCTGTAACCTGCTTCAAGTTTGTGTTTTAGTGCTCTAAACTTAACATTTTGCTTCTCCAAAAATTCTCTGAATTCTATTTTGGCTGTTGCTCTCCTGAATACAGTATCAGAGTTACCATCAAAGGAAGCATTGCTCGGCACTGCTCTGCTTTTAGTTGTTACCCGAGTTTAGGGACACAACTTTTTTGGTTACAGCAGGCACAAAATTTAATAAACAATAGTAGAATTAGGCTGTCTGGGAAGTTTGGTACATGCATGAGTTCTCCGTCTATTGCACTTAAGGGACAGGCAAGTGGCATTTCTAGGGGAACAAAGATAACTTATGATCGTCACACGTTTCATCTTGGATTCTGATAAGGCATTTTCTCAACGTGAATTTTCAAGAGATATATGCCTGTGTTTTTATCAATGTTAGCATTAATGTTTGCACATCCACAGTTTGCCCATAGTGCACTTTCTTGTTATGTCTGTGCCCTGCCCTATTAGCTTTTTCATTTCATTAAATCAGTTTAATGAATTAAGATTCTCATCATTAAGATTCCACTCTATTTCATTTTTACCAATTATAAGAACTAGAGAGGCCCCAGTAGGCATTGTTGAAATATGACGTCACAGGGATTAGTGTGGGAATTTGAAAATGGCGTCGCCACCCTCATTTTCTTCAATTGCCAAGTGTGTTTTATGGCAAGCATGGTGATTTTGGTATTGTATCTACTGATGGGGGGGGGGGGGGGCGCAAAATTTATGGTTTTTCCCTTAGTGTTCGTATTATCGGAAATCACTGCCATTGTCTGCCAGGCAACCTTTCTTTTATAATTGATGCAAATTGTAGATATACGAGCGGTTGCGCATTGTCCAGTTACCTGATTTATGGAATTTAAGTAATTTCTGGCATAAAAACTTTATATTGTTCAGGTGAGTACACTTCTGCTAATATAAACTTTATATTCATCCAGCCTGCCAAGAAGGAGGTAACCAAGAAGGCTCCTAAGGCACCTGGTGTCAAGCGAGGCAAGTGACCCCCCCAGTTTGTCATATTGCATTCTGCATAGTTTTTCCTCAGCAGCTGTCTAGTATAGTTAGTTCCCTTGCTCATATGGACTCTTATGTCTGCTCAGTGAGCAATAGAATGTGAAATACTACTACTGGACTTGATCTACACTGAAACCTCTATATGATGAGACAGGATATAATGAAATAATGGGTATAACAAAATAAACATTCCGCTTGAAAACCCCCATGGAGATGTGCATAATAAATCTCATTTTACTGAAATGGAGTTGACCTGCAAACGGATAAAACGAACTAAAATCATCCCCAAATCCAAAAAATTGCCTCAAAATGTATGTGGCATGAGAGCAGCAGCAGTACACTAATGCCCCTGTCGTATTCTTCCATACTTAGTCCTACTCACTTCACCCCAACTCCCACCTCTCGCGCTGCGTTGCAGCGTGTAGATAGACGTGGTTGGAGTGTAGCCTCCGAGAATGCTGCAGCTAGGCCTGGTCAGAGCTTGGCCTTCAATATTGCATGATGCAGTCAACTCTCGCTAATACGAAATTTACGGGAACCACAAAAAACTTCGAACTAAACGAACTTCCAGTGAAGCAAAATGCACAAAAAACTGCACTTGCATTGCTTCAAACATGACAGTTCTCTACGAAAATTGTCATCCTGTCTTGCTTAACCTAGCTACTGCTAGAAAGTTTTCCAAGTACTACAAATTTCGAAGTGCTTCTTCAGCATTGACTTTCTCAAAAAAGCATAAAAACGGCAGGGCAACATGAAGACCTGCAGCAACATCGGTAGTCCTCGGTGGCGGTTTGTATCTATGTCATTTTGCACTAGTCTAATCATCTGCACAATTTATTGGTTTGTTAGGGGACCGCACATATTGACGTTGCTCTCCACGGCAACAAATTTTTCAAAAAGGACGTCGCTAAGAACGGCCCCAAAACTACAGTTATCGAGTTTACATGTTTGCACTTGATGAGGTTTAAGAGAGAGTTGGGCTCAACGCCGTACTTTTGTGCGATGTCTTGCTTGGCAGTGCCTTCGTCTCCAGATCACGGGGCCCTGAGTTGCCATTATCAAACATCGCTGCCACAACCCTTAAAATCAGCTGTGGAAACACATGCTGAATCAATCCACAGCGCGTTGGCGGGCTAGTCGACTTATCATGCTATGTTTCAACAGTGAAACTGGATGCATATGGAGCAGAACACTCACATACACACTATGCTGTATGTGTGTTTGAGCGTGCTTTTCCACCAGTGTCCAGTCGTGCTGTTCTAACTTCAACCCAGCACACAGCTGAAGCACCTGACACATCACAACTCAAGACCTAGTTAGCCAATGTGATGCCTGGCGTTGAAGATGACCGCTTCGTGAACGATGGCACTGCTAGCCAATGGCTACAACAGCGCAATCTGACAACTGTCTGTGGTGGTCTTGGCACATAAAAATTTGTCCATTCAATGGAAAAATTAGTCGCCTCCAAGCTCTTGACGGAAAAATACCTTCTAATTAACCAGCATTATGGGTTTTTAACTTTGAATTATCGAGCACAGCATTTTTCTCTATAGGCGTGCATGCAAAATTGATAGGACCACTTGTTAAATTCTAAATAACCTAAAATTCCAATTAAGCTACTCAAATTATTGGGAGTCGACTGCCGCAACATCACAGCACAAGGTGTGAAAGACATTGGCCTTATGCATTGTACACTCGTGTGCATTGTAGCGGGCTAAATCTGTGGTGAAGTTGGCACACAGGCTAGTGAGTTGCATGTTGCTCATTCAAGGCAGTATTTTTTCTCTCTTGCCTTTGTTAGAAAGCATCGCTGCTTCGCCGTGCTTGCAGCAACTTGGATGGGCCAAGCACAAAATGGAAATGAAAGACCACTCTCATTGGAACAGACTGCAGCTCATGTGGCAGATGTTGAGTTGCCCAATGCCGCCGCTGTAGATTTTTTCTTCTTCTTGACTAGAATTGTCACAAATGTAGCTGTATAACATTAGAGTGAGCTGCAAAGTCGTGTTGCTATTTGCATAAAAAAGGAGTCCTCAAACGCTTTTGAAGCACCTCTTATATTAGTGGGTTGTGTAGACTGAAAGCTGGTTATAATTTGAGCATAGATCAAAGCATATTAAAAGTTTTGACCGTGCATAGGAAGTCGTTATACATCAGTGGTAACTGCATCAAAGCATAGTGGTGCTCACAACTACTGCAGGCCAAAATGACTATAGATAGCGCAGACCTATCATTGGATAAAGGTAATGTTAGACTGATTGTGGCATTGTATCAAAAAAGAGATAAGAATTGGGTTTTGTTTGTCCTTTGTGGTCTTTCCCGTGCAGTCGTAGTAGAAATGATACGTATGATTGCAAAACGCAATAGGGGCACTGGTGACAACTTCAGCTCTGGCTTTTTGCCTGTGCTGGTCACATGTTCATACAAAAGCTTTGTTTGCTTCTCCTTTCTTATTGCTTGTGTACATATGTGAGCTGCCTCGTTTTGCATGTGTGGTACACTCTTGATGGTTGTTAAAGTGGTGCAAATATATGTATCTCCCTTTTGAGTTCTAGACTGCAAGTTTGAGGAGTTGGTGTTGTTTTTTGTACTTTTCAATTTAACGAGAACAGATAGAAAAAAAAAGAGCTGCATTACTTTTTTACATGGTAGAGGTGCCGCTTGCTTTTTAAGAAAGCTTGTGGCCGTCTGGAAAAAAAAAATGGGCTCGTTTTATTCATGACTGTGTACTTTCCTGAGCAGCTTCGCTGTGCATGTGTTGTGCACTCGTGAATGTTACAGTTGGCAAATGTTTAGCACCTCAGTGCATTGTTATTGTCGCACTCTTGCTGTTCTGAGAATGCTGCACCACATTCTTCGCTACTATAGTAATAGTGTGATCGCTTGCTAGATGGAATAGGCAACAAAGCTGTGCAAGCTTCCCCTATGTGAGAGCTTTCAGCTCGTTCTGTTGGCGGTGCCTGTCAGTTGCAGTGGTGAAGGAAATGGGATCATGTGACCCTGTGAAGACAGAGCTGAGTGGATCAGTTGGTTTTTATTTTTATTTTCAATTTTCTAGGCTAAACAACTTTGGGGACTGCATGTCCTTATTGCTACTGTCCTTGCTGCATTAGCCTTTCTGTCCTTCAGTCTGTGCTACCCACAGGTAAAAAGGGGCGCTTGAATACTGTTAGAGGGCCCCTTCATAACTCTTGCACCTTGTTGTGTTAGATGCTGTCATATAGGCAAAGCCAAGTGAACCTCATGACAGCGTGTGAGCATGGCACGTGGCTTGGCTCCTGGGCTAAAACGTATTTTGAATAAGCGTGTGTCCACGTAACTCGGCCTACTGTTGTCTTCGCTCGTCCCTGACAACTTTAACATGATGTCAGAAGAACAATTGCTACTAGTGGACATCGGCTTCTAGCCATTATTTTTTTTTTAAAGGATGCTGCAGGCAAGAAAGCACTGGTGAAAGGCTCCTTACACACATATTTCGGAACTTAAGTAGAGCGATCTTCTAACATGCGGAGGCCGTGGTGTTATTCGTTAGTCAACCTCCAGATGCCTTCAACTTTTCGTCACTGAACGAGTGTCCAAAGTGTAAACAGTGCTTCACCCTATACAGGCTTGTGCGTGAAGCTAGAGCAGCATCAAGTAGATGTGCTACTTTACATCATGGGTGAGCAAGGCAAGGAAATTTGAGGGCCTTCGCTTTATCCGAAGATAACTCCAAGAAATTCAACGAAGTTGTGGAGCAGTTTAACATGTATTACAGTCGACTCCCGTTAATACGAAGTTCATGGGAACCGCAAAAAACTTCGAATTAAACGGACTTCGAATTAAGCAAAAAGCACTAAAAACGGCACTTTCATTAGTTTAAAAGCACGACAGTTTTTAGGAAAAATAGTCTGTCATCTTCTTCTGCTTGCCGAATCTGGCTGCGGCTAGCAAGTTTTGTAAGGAATACACGTGTCGAAGTGCTTCTTCCGCGTTGTGTTCTCCAACAAAAAACCGCTGCGCAAGAGCAAGACCCGCAGCTACATCGGCAGCCCTCGGTGGTGGCTCATTTCCGATGTCGTCGTCATCATCGTCATTTTCAGGAATGCAGTCATGGGGCCGAACCATCTGCATGATTTCGCTGTCCGTTAGTGGACCGCATGTTTCGACGTTGCTGTCCACAGCGACATACTCGTCAAAACGGACGTCGCCGAGAGCGGCGCAAAAGCTACCGTCGTCGAGCTCATTTGTTTGCACTTCCACTGGCGCACAAAGAGAAGCATCCCCCGAGTTTTCCATGAAACCACAGGCCCGGAAACAATTGGCGATGGTTTCTTCTTTCACGCGGGTCCAAGCTCGCGCTAGCATGTTGATGGCACTAAGCAAACTCACCTCGTATTGCGACGAGTTGTCCATGCACAAAAGCAAGCGCTCGACGAGATGCTGCCTATACAATACCTTCACATTTTTTATTATGCCCTGGTCCATGGGCTGCAACACGAACGTCGTGTTTGCAGGCAGGTACACAAGACGGATGGCACTCAAGGCAGGTACGTTCATGTGGGCACTACATTGGTCCACAAGGAACAACACCTTACGGCTTGATTGCGCGAACTTGCACTCGAGTTTGGTGATCCAGTCCTTAAATATATCGGATGTCATCCACGCCTTTCTGTTCGAGGCATAATCCACAGGAAGCGTCTTCACGCCTTTAAAGCACCTAGGCTTGGCAGCCTTCTTGATCACAAGCAGGCGACACCGTTCTGTGCCAGTCATGTTCGCCGCGACTAGCGCTGACACTCTCTCTTTGCTTCTTTTGCCTCCAGAACAGTCGTCTTTAAATGTCAGGGTCTTGTCCGGTAGCAGCCGATAAAAAAGCGCAGTCTCGTCTGCATTAAAAATGTCTGCCGGCTGGTATTCTTCGAGGTACTCGCGAAGCTTGCCCGCTTTCCATGTCAGGCACGTTTCCTCATCGACTGACGCCTTCTCCCCACACACGCTTTTAAAAATCAAGTCGTGGTGATGTTTGAAACGCGTAAGCCACCCATCCGAAGCAGCGAAGTCGTTGATGCCCAACATTTCAGCAAGCGATGATGCTTTTGCCGTGACGACTTCACCACTGAGAGGAAGTTTGTTGTTTCGTGCCTCTCTGATCCAAATCAGCAGTGCTTCTTCCAACTCGGGGTAGGCGCCGGTGCGCATCCGCTTCCGCGATGTCTTGAATTTTTCACTTTCAAACGCATCCAATATTGAGCGCTTATTCTTTATGAAAGTCTACAGCGTGTTAGGCTTAATGCCGTACTTTCTTGCAATGTCTTGTTTGGCGGTGCCTCCCTGGTCAACTTCCTTCATGACTTCGACTTTCGCCGCTAGGTCTAGCGTTCGGTAAGAGCCACGAGTTGCCATTATCAAACGTACGTCAGCACCACAACACTCAAAATCAGAAGCGCGGAAACACGTGTGGGATCAACCCAGCGCGCGGGTGACGCGGTGACACACTCGAGTCCCTGCAAAAGTCAACTAAAGAGTCAGTCGATGCCGCCGATGCGATTCGCCAGCGTTAAAAAGATTGCCGCTTCAAGATCTGTGGCGCTGCGGACAGTAGTGATGGCGAAGACACCAGCGCGGTCCGGCAGATGTTTTGGCATATGAAAAGTTCCCCCATTTTACTGTAAAATTACGGTCGCGACGAGACTGTCGATTGAAAAAACTTCTAATTAACCAATATTATGGGTTTTTAACTTCGAATTATCGAGCATTTTTTTCTATACGATTGCATGCAAAACTGATGGGACCACTTGCTCATTTCTAATTAACCGAAACTTCCAATTAAGCGACTTCGAATTACCGGGAGTCGACTGTATATGCCACGACGCAACATAATTTTTGAACTGGCCAAATTTAAAACCAGAGCACATCAAGATGGTGACTCGACCAAACATCCCGTCGCTGTGCTCCGCACGCTTTCGAAAAATTGGAGTAGTGATTTTCGAGAAGAGTTTGTGCATGACGACTTTGTGGTTGGGATCAAAGACAAGCTACTATCTGCTAGGTTACAGCTCGACACAGACCTCATACTATAAAAGGCTCTTGATTCTGTCCACCAGATCGAGAGCGTCCACCAGTAGCAAGAGCTCCGTCATGAAGTGCCATCTGTGAGGAAAGTTCAGTGATGGAAGTGCTGCTCCAATTGCTCCAAACTGCTCCAAAGAGAGAATGTGATTGCTGCGTGTAACAAATCTTTGTAACTGCGCTCGTACTGGACGGACTCTTGAAATTTTCGCCGCATTAAATTTGTGAGGTAATACGCTTTTCCAGTGAATTAATTACATGGTTACTCCAAAAATGTTTCAGGACCCCTTTAAACCTCCCGCTTTGCCCATGATTTACGCCAACTATACTGCTTGTATATTAGCTGCATACTAACATATGGCATGTTTAATAATAAATATAAATATTTATTAGATGCTTAAGTGATTTTTTAGACTTCAGGAGTCGTTAGGAACATACATTTGCTCCGAAAACAGCAATAGCAACCTTAAGCTAAAGCATTTTTTTCTGCTCCGAAGACACTTAAGGCTGCTCCAAAGCACCATGTTTTCTGCTCTAGAATCTGCTCCAAAAAGCAAAATGTTGCTTCTATCACTGAAAGTTGCAGCCGGCGCACAAACCAATCGGCGTACTGACCGGTTTGTTTAATGAGGTATAAGGGTTACGAGGCAAAGCTGTGGTAATTTTCATTGGAGAGCATAGGCTGGTACAACTAAACTCGGTCACTACAAAAGCGGTAGAGGTCCTAAATAGTTTATTGGTGCTGAATTTTATAATATGATAAACCGATATAACATTAAAATATAGTCTGCCGGCTTAAAGTTTTTGTTTAAAATCGAAGAATTGAATTTAGATTTTTTTGTTGACATGTGGTGATCTGCCACAGCTTCTGCCTTTCATCAGATAAGGCACTGTGACAGTGTGGGCATGTGCTTAGAGCAAGGATTAGATGATATCAAAACCTTACATTGTATTGGGAGGCTCCCAGGATGTTCAAGAACGCTTACATAGTGGCCCCCTCACTGTCCTATGTAACTAATGTAGTGCATTCTTCTGTTATTTTTGTTATTGCTTATTTCTACGCTCACATTATGAGAAAGAGAGAAAAAAAAAAGAAAAAGCAGGGAGGGCCGACATACGTGATGACATATTCTACAACTCTCAGCAGGAAATCCACGAGTGTTGAAGATTGGGCGAGTTGGTTCGTCGTACTTGAACTGGTATAGCGCATTATGCGGAAGAAGAAACGGCTGAGCAGACCGACACAAGAGGACAGAGCGCTAACTTCCAACTGAGCTTTATTGTGAAACTGCATCAAATATGTAGACCGGCGCAAGCATACAAAACCACCCTAACGCAACGAGAAGATAACACACAACATCACACCGTCACATATCACAGATTCATTGATTCGCATTGATCAAACATGGGGGTACATCCACAATCTCGGCAATGAATTCCAATGTGGCCCTGGATTGCTTTGTGAACATTATAATGGTGCTCTTTTAGCCTTTCATTAAGGCATCGCCCCGTTTGGCCGAAATACCACATACCACATGAGAATGGAATGGCGTAAACAACTCCCGCTACATACGGCACAAACAGAGTTTTGTGCTTAGTTGCGCAACCAGTGGTACGTGATTTTAGAGGGTTTACTGCTTTGCAAAGCCGCTGTAACTTATCCGGCGCTGAAAACACCACTTTGACGCTGGATTTCTCCCTTATCTTTTTTAGCCGGTGGGAAATATCATGTACGTAGGGTAAAACTACGGGTCTTTTACGGTCGTTAGATTCCGGCTGAGCCTCGGAGTTGCAGCCTTTCTTTATCTGTTTTAATAGCTTTTCAGCTATAGATGTCAGTGGAAACCCCTTTTACCCTATGACTCTTCCCATTCCAAGTTAGTTAAGCGCAGCATCACAAATCTTTCTCTCATCAATCCTCTTAGGAAATCGTGTCATCACGTCATGCAGCGCAGCTTTGCAGCTCAAGCTGAAAGGCTTTTGAGTGCTGGGTACCCAGCTATCCTACTGACCTCTTGTGTCGGTCTGCTCAGCCGTTTCTTCCTCGCATAATGCGCTATACCAGTTCAAGTCTCAGCAGGAAATGTCTTAGGAACTGTGTGAATAATGGTAGCTTAACATGTTAAATTGCATATATTTTGGAGGAGTGTTCATTGAGGAAATGCATCAACTGCGATATTTAGTTAGTTGTTACATGGCTATTTTGCACAAGTTTCTTGAGGCATTCAGAGATTGAGGACACTTGCATTTTAAGCCAACATTTCTCGTTGTAGGGGCTTCGAGGTTTGAATAATACAGTGTGGAGAAAGCATGCAAGCCCTTATGCTTCATATAACATAAAATTGCAGTACTGAAATATTTAATTATGTGTCCAAGCTTCAAGGAGCCTGCTCTGTGCATGGCTCGTGCAGAAGCCTAGCTTTAGTTTCAGCCGCACACAGTCGCACCATGCACGATTAACGTCCCCTACCCGTAGCTCGAGTCATCGCAGCTAACGCGCGTTTGAGTGAATAATACAACAGGCTAGGTCAACAAAACAACACTTTATTGCTATGTTAGCAGTGGCGCGTAAACATCGTGTAGAGGAATCGTCTGCTCTGTGTAGAGAACATAGAGAACAAAAAGTAAGGCTTACGTCTTTTGTCGGCGGCCGGCTCGCAGGGTCCCAAGATGAAGAGTTGGTGGCTGCTGGTACTGAGAGAGTTTCCCTGTCTGCTCAGCTGTTTTCTTCACCTCTGGTTTTCTTTCTCCCAGTGATGGTTGTTTTCCTCGCTGAGAAAGAGGCCCTTTCCCACGAGCTGGGCAGCTGGGAGTAGTGCACGCTAGCTGCAGGGTTGTGGGTCCTCCTGACAGGGTGTGGTGTTTCTGGGGGACAGAAATGCCCCCACTGCTAGATTGTGGCTGCACCACCGTCAAAGGAAAGGGAAAATAGGGAAACAACCTCAATCGTTAAAGCTTCGGATACGTAATTTAAAAGTTGTGGTTTTGTGACTGACCAACGAAAAGGGCTCTTTTTCGTATGCTTTAATTCATTTTTAGTTATGTCGTAATTATACACCTGTGTTAAAAGCAATGAATGATGCCACTCGTGCCTTCCTTGGCTTGTCTGTTGGATCCATATGCTTCTGTCTGACTTCGTGTAGTAGGCTTACCTAGCTGATTTCTTAAGGAGTGTGAAAGCATTTTACGCCCTAATTTTTCATTCTATTTTCAGAAAATGCATATTCCCGGAAGTGTGCTCTGTCTGCAGAACTGGCTGCTGTTGTTGGGGCTGAGGAGGTAAGACAATCTTACGAAAGCAATTTTGCGGCTTGACAAAACATGCTGAGCATTCTTCAGATTTATCGTATCTACTAACATGATAAGTACTCTCTCCTAATATGGGCAATTTGGTTGCGGGAAATCAGATTCTTTATATCTGCGCGAAATAGGCGCACCCCAAACTTGACCATGATCGGTAGTTCTATACCGTATTTGCACGGTTGCTACTGGACGCCCTCTTACGCCAACTGAAGCAAGGAAAAAGAAAAATGCGCAATCTCCAACTAAAGGGAACGATGTGGCGATGCAAAGTAGCACTGGTGTTCACTTGTTTTCAATGGTTGTTTCCATTTGTATGTTTCATTTGTGTGTAGAGTTGAGTATAAGTTGCATACTGCATATGCTACCCCCCTCCCATTTGTGTGTATTACTGTGTGTGTGCCGCAAAGTGAACATGCAGTGCTACTAGGAAAGTGCAACGAAGCGAACGTGAGCATACGAGTGCACAGCTGTGGCAGAGAGATAAACGGGTGAGAAGGAACGAAGCAGAGGCAGCGCTCTACCACCTCCTCATGTGAGCAGAAGGGGAGAGTCGGCGCACGTGCAGAAAGACTGGTCACGCAGCATACAGCACTGAACTCTGTCATAAGCTGCTTCACATCTAAAACGACCGCGGGCTTACCAAGTGAGGAAGAAGGGTGGTTGCCAGGGTGTCGGAGTAACCTCTGCAATGGCGGCAGCGAAGCTGCGGCTGCTAGCCGGCCACGTGCATTTCACATGAATGCGCGACCGTGTCCTCATCAAGTGCGCATGGAGTTTCCTGTCTGAAAAAGCGTTGTCGTTATTTCGTTTGCTACCTTGTCCACAAATTTAAAAGCGTTTCTGCTTTCCGCCACGAGTTCTCACCTTTGCTGCCACTATGCGGGCCTGCACAAGCGAGGCGGACTTTTGTCGCCGTTAATTTCCTGGCCACCAACTTGGACAGTGTAACACATGCACTGCTCTTGGGTGCTTGAAGGCAATCTTCTTAATGCCCAATCTTCATGTGCTCAAACTTCCTGCGACAACATGCCGAGCTGTAGGCTAGTCTAATCTCTGTTGGTGTTTATCATTGGCGGTAGTGGGCGATCCAAGTTGGCGGCTTTGTACAAAATCAATGCAACTCTTTACGGTGGCTCTACTTGAACGAAAGGGGTTTTGGGTGGTGTTACGTCTGTACAGCTGCTTGTGGCTGTAGACTTTATTTAACTAGGGCAAACGAGCGTAGCTCAGGTGTTGGAGTCACTACAAGCTTCTGTTCGATACAAGGCTCACGCGTGTGCCACAGCGCCAGTGGAGTCATGTGTGCACTCCGTTCTTGTAGTCTTCTAAGGCGACATGTCAGGCGGTGCTTGTAACACTTCAATGGTGGTTTGCGATTCGATTGCAATGTCTTGCATATGGAGTGTAATGTAAATGAAATCGAACGATTGTTACTGTTCAGCACACTTGGTGGCCTGAAACGTAATATGAAAATTTCCGCAATGGCATGTACTTTTCGTAGTTTTTTTTTACATGCTTATTTCATTGGCAACGCGGGTCTTTTGATGTTTCTTTTTGAAAATTTGAATGCACACCGCATTGCATGCCTCGATTCTCGTACTCTCGAGACTGCGTGCTTTACTTGTTTTGCGCGAGTGGTTGTAGCGAGTGGTTGAAGAAGGTTGTATCAGCTGTAGTGCGGATATTCGTGACTTCGGTGTTGTATACGTTATCAACAGTTTATGCTGTAGTTGAAAACAAAATTTTTGGAAATCTTACCCCCCCCCCCCCCCCCCCCCCGAAATAGGCGCGACTTGAACTTGAAGCCGGATTTTCTGGAAAAAGTTCACCTATTATGTGAGGAAATTACGGAAAAACAGATTTTTACCCGGGCCCTTTTGATTTAAGCAAATCATTTTGTTGTGTGTGTGTGTGTGTGCATTTCTTTTGGTTGAACCAACCTGCGAACAGTTTCTAGGTTGTTTCCATGCTGTGGAAGCAACCTAGATCCCCGCAAAATAAATAAGATGTACCAAGTGACATGCTCGCTTGCATACCTATGGGTGCTGTAATTGCGCTGCTTTTAAACGTTTTGCATACAAATGATATTCATCTTTCACAGTGGTTATCGCTTTTCTTGCTGCTAGACTTCAACATTATGCATCACAAGTAGCCACTCACTCGTAATCAAGTACATTTTCTTATAATTTTATAATTTAGTAGAGTACTTTTTTCAAGACTGTAATTTATGGGTAATACATCAATTAAGTAAAATGGGGGTAATTCAATAAATTACCTGTACAATAATGGGAGCAAAAGCAAGTTAAAAAATAAGACCCCATCTCTGGCCCCCTATTTCTCCCTGGTTCAGGAAATGTAGCTCAGGAAACTGGCAAAATGGTTCTGAAGAATTCCACATGGTGGAGGGAGATTAGGGAAAGGTTAAAAATTTGTCGTCCACATGATGATAGCACGAAGGGAACTCATCCATTTCTCTATAAGAAACATACCTGCTGAATCTCTCGTTTTATCTGCAAGATTTGCAAACTCTTCTTAATCTTTTCAGTAGTATAGGCATGGCCTCAAGTTTCTGGAAAGGCAAGTCCGCTTGTCGAAATGTCTGCTCTAGCACACAACCCTTGTTTACAGATTATTTCATCACAAGCTTCATCTTCCCCTTTCTGCTGCTCTTTTGTATGCGATGTAGTGTTGCACATTACTCTCAGCAGAAAGTGTTTTTCGAAGTAGTTGTCGCTGGTTCGCATTTTCGTATTAAAAGGTCTGCTGTTATACTTAATACTCTCTCAGTGCAGTGCAAGCACTGAAGGGAAGGGCAGTATTGTAATGTAGGAACAACTTCTGCACCAGCTCATAGTTGTAAGGTGCGTTAATGCTGTAATATCCATGTCCTCTATGAAGCGTTGCTTCGCTATTGCTAACACCCGGGTAAGGCGTAGCAGGTGAGGCTAAGGAAAAGGTGAAAAAAGAGCTCTGTAGGGACTTCCCGCCTGACAGGACAAGGGGTCCATACAGAGTGGTCACATATTTTTTGAGAACTGCCATAAAAGATGGGTTGTAATTTCAGTTTTAACAATTGCAAAAGGATGCAATTGAATTACCCAAGAATTAGTTTTGAAAAAGTACACAATTATGTATTAAAAGTTGCAACAAAATGTACTTAATTACAAGTGAGTGGCTACTTGTAATGGATGATGTTGAAATCTAACGGCAAGAGAAGTTATAACCTCTGCGAAAGATAAATGTCATTTGTATGGGAAACATTTAGGAGTGATGCAATTGCAGCACCCATAGGTACGCAAGCGGGCATGTCACTTGGTACATCTTATTTATTTCACAAGTGATCTGTAGGCAGAAAAGCATTTGCACTTTATAGATAAAAAGTTTAAAATGGCCTATTTGGACAACTTGCAAACTGATCTGCACCTTTCTTGGAATTTTTTGCCAGCTCATTTCTTCAAAAGTTGGTTAGCTAATCTTGCTTAATCAAGCAATCAGGCAGACCACACACAAAAAAAAAAATGGGTCTGCATGTTTTAAATCTCTGGCTAGAGATAGCTAAGGCATCCTGTTTAGCCAAGGCAGGCTTTGTTGAACCTGATTTATTGGTTATTTTCATGATAGTCTTCATAAGGATTTTAACCTGCAACTTGTTTGAAATCACAGATGCTGTAAAGTTCTAGCTTGTTGCTTCTATGTGGTATTGCTGATGTATATATGAGAAACTACACTTTTTTCTTACTTTTTTAGATGCCCCGAAGTGCAGTGGTGAAGAAAATGTGGTCTATTGTGCGTGAGAGGAATCTTTTTGTAAGTTTGTCTTTTCTGCATTGTCAATTTTCTACACTGCTTTGTCACTTTTCTACACTGCTGTAAACTGAAAAATGCTTCATTTATCTCATACAGTAACACCTTGTTAACTCTAAGGGATATAAACCAGAGAAAATTTTGAGATAACAGGATTTTCGAGATAAGCAAACTTGCGCTAATCTCCGAGAAACATAAGAGCTTTTCAGAAAAATCGCTCCTACTTACCGGCTCTTCAGCGGCAATCTGTAATTTTTCTTCTTGTGCAGGTTTAAAAGAGAGAAAAATAACATACAAGATACTTTTACCGCTGGGTTTTGCCACACTGCCATTTTATTTAGCAGGGAGAAATCGCCTAATGCTTGTGTGCTTTGAGGTCATACTCGAGCCTGGGGAGGCGTCCTCCAGCTGCTTGACCTGTCGCCTCAGCCGATCTTTCCCGCCGCTGCACTCGACCTTATTTTGAAGCAAGAACGGAATTTCTCGTCTCCGCCGTCCCATACGTTAGGGGCCATTTGAAAGATTTCGGCGTCTGTGATTTCTCCAGTCACCACCACATCCTGCTCGCACAGCTTGTACTCCGGAAAATTCTCATCATTTTGGGTGGCCCCATTACCTGTAATCCTGATGACCTTTTGACAACGTTTCTCACAATCTCTGCTGAAATCCGCGCAGAACCTTCTTGTTTTTTAGCACCGTCGAAAGCGTAGACAAAGAGATGCGAAATTCCTGTGTGATGCTCGATTTCAGCCGGCCTCCTTTCTCCACTTCCTTAATTAGGGCAACCTTTTTTTTTTTTTTTTAGCGTTAGCAACCTGCACTGCTTTGACGCTGTGTTTGCTGCACTCACGCTAAGTTGCCGCTTCGCGCAGTCAGCGAAAAATTCGCATCGCTCAGTTCGCACAGATGAACAGAAATCGCACCTCAGGGAAAATCATGTGCACTGCACAAAGCAAACAAGACAAACTATGTCAAGTGTGGGCAGAGGACGTCCCTGCTCAGCGCATGTGCCACTTGACGTGCCACATGGTTGCTTGACAAAGTTATGTTGCTGGGCTGAGACTTCGTGCATGTCGCGTTCGCGGAAAGCATCGGCGTAGTGGCAGGCATGGCTAAATTAGGAAAAAAGAAATCGACTGACTTAAGGCATGGCAGTATCGAGCAAATCTTGTGAAATGTTCTGGTGGCGGAATTCCCATTCCACTCCCAGTCAAGATTTTGAGTTATCGGCAATCAGACACCAAAAATGCTTAGAGATACAGAGAAAAGTATACATGGGACATATAGGAAAATGTTCACTGCGACGGAAATTTCGGACTTAGCCAATTTTTCGAGATACAGTTGATCCCGGACATATCGAACTCGAAGGGGATCGCAAAATAGTAGTTCGATATATCGATGACTTGAAACACAAAATGTACATATTTAAGGCCTAAATTAAAGCATTTCATGCCTTCTATATCATTACAAGCACTAGCATAACGATTCGCTCACAGTTTAATGAAGAACAAGGTGTGAACTGCAAGTTACCGCACTTTATTTCGTATAAAAATAGTCTGCAAACTTGTCTTGCTTCTTGCACGCCATCAACTTTGTCATCTTGAGTGTCATTAAAGCGTTTCAAATAAGCGAATTTAGTTCTTTTGGCCTCAACAGCGTTAATTGACACGGAACGCCGATGCAAGCATTGTAGCACAGCAAAAGGTTGGTTAGCAGCGGCGGCGATGGTGTTGGCATACTCGTGACTGCACGGTACACTTGCACAGCACTGGACACAGCAGCCATGGTCTCACCATCGATGCAGGCAGAAACAGCTACATCGTCATCTGTACCGATAAGTCGCTCACTGTTCATGATGGTGCTCAGAAACGCTGATAAGTCGCAGAATTCACCGAGGCACCGTACGCCAGCAGTCATGACGTACTTGAAGTCGTCATCTGGCAAGCGAGGAAAGTTTACGACGGTACTTTACTTGATCTTGCTCCAAGCACCAGTCATAACTTTTATCCCTATGTGCGGGTCAACGTTCAGCTCTGTCCCGAATGAGGATTTATCAGGAACGAAGCAAGAAATGCACAAGTCCATAAAGTGCAAAAGACAAGATGCCAAGTTTCCACAGTCGACATAATGGCAATATCGATGTAACTTGTGCCTTTGTAGCTGGCTGCTGCTGCTTTCAGTTGCTTTGATGCGAAAAGCTAGAAAAAGTGTAGCCTCCAAGACGTGCGTTTCGAAAACCGAAAATACCAAAAATACGTCGGAAGGTTGCACATCTCGAAGGCCACGCTTTTCAGGCTCGTGTGCCATTGTGCGCTAAAAAATTGGGAAGGGAATGCGAACATTACAATGAGTTCGCCGAGTCACTTTGCATTCTGATTTCGGTGTCCTCGGCAATCGGTATTCTTGAAAAACGGTACGCCCACGTGTTAAGGCCTACAGATCGCACATCAAACATACCGGTTCACTCACAATTGAATGCCACGAAATGAACCCAGAATAACGCAGTGGAATAATACTGCCTTTTCGTGACCTGCACACGTAAAGGGATCATAACTTGTTAGAATGCGCCCAAAAATTGTTCAATATTTGCTAGGAAAAACGCACTTCCTGGGCTTTGGCGTGGCACAGCATTTCATATAGTTGCAGATCTGCTGTGGCCCCCGGGGGGTTCGATATGCGGGTGCGCTGGTCTCATATTTTTGCATGGGAAAATCAAGGGGATTTCTCGACTGTTTGATTCAGCCAATATTTCGATATATTTAACTTTCATAATACAGTTACACCTGGATATAACGGAATCGAGAAATTCCCAAAAAATTTTGTTATAAAGAAGATTTAGTTATATGCAGGTTCAGTACAAAAATGCAGGAAATAAACGCACAAATTAAACAAAAGGGGAACTGAAGGTAGAGCTAACCCAAAACGCTTATTTAGCTGTAAAGAACTGCATTGTTATTGCGATAACATTTATATAGACGCTCCTGGCAGGTTTTTGTTGTCGCCTCTATATTCCGTAACAAGTCCGAACTGATATAATGCCCCCAGCGCATCGTAACTTCCACAAGCGGGTAAAAGCGCACGAGTGCTGCTGAAGCAGAGATCAAATGAGTCGGCTCAACCCTATCACCTGGAAAGTGCCTAAGATAACATCTCCCATGCGTTAGAATTGCCGTCGAATGTTTAAGCAGAAAGTAAACCACGAGCATGAAAACACGAGGAGCGAAGGGTCGCTCGAGTAGCAATAATGAACTTGAATTTTCAGAGAGGTCGCGATCGCTGGTGCCCTTCCTATCTTGGCGAGTATCAGTGCGGTTTCAATGCGAAGGGACTGTGTGAAAAAAGCACTTCTTCCTGGAGCGGTTGTATTTGGTCACGCCAGCTATTTGTAGTAGTTCCGCAATAGCGGATCTAAAAGAGTTGGCTAAGTTACAATTTATTGCTATCACATTCATTGCATTGAATTCAACGTGCCGTCGTGTTGGCAGAATTAATGGGCAAATTGCAAAAGCTACCAGCCTGCAAACTCATGGCGTGGCGCAAAACGGAAGTTCATGATGAGTCAACCTTCGAAGATCCGTTGTCACCGTGGTCTGCGAGAGCTTCCATCAGCGCCTAATCTGACATCCCCTCTGTGGTGATGACACGGTTGTCCAAAATTAGAAAAAGGTCACAGTTTCGCCGCAAGGGCGAAGCATTGAATGCCATAGCAACCGCTTGAAATATAACGCCTGAGGACAAGCATATCGGAACGTGCACTGTGCTGCTCACGCACAAATGACGCACAAGGACGAGAGCAAACTAGCAACGTTTACCGCTCGACACTTGACACACTGTTTAAACAAAAACGAGGCACGAAACGTAATCACATTCAGGTGAGTGCGAACTAACAAGTGCCCCAGTTGTTGCTTCGCTGTGTTTGAAAAGCGCACTCTTTTCGCAAACGGCACCTGACCAGTGAGTGAAGTGATCTTTGTGTGCCCGGCAACTAAATGCAATCGTTTTGGTCAACGTTCAAGACGTGTGATTCTCCCAAAAGAAAGTTAAGCCCGTGCGCACAAGCATCTACCTCGCCCCCCCCCCCTTCACAGGCAAAGTACGCATGGGAGATAAGTGCAAGTGTGCATCGGAGCATCGTGGCGAGCTGGGCGCAGAGTGCGGGCGGCTTTTTTTTTTCTTGAATTTTTATATATAGATGTGTATACATATACGGTGAATGATGGTGGGGACGGCAAAAAACCAGCCGAGACTGTCTATATAATTGCAATAAGTAATGAAAGAAGCAAAGCTGAACGTTATTGGGGGCCACACCATGCGCGCGCAGTCAAACCAACGTAAAAACATTGAGTGAAACTATGCGCGCGCATGGCATCGAAAACAAGAGTGGACGGCACTGACGTGGATACCACGGTAAACTACTTGGTAAAGTGACCTCCATATGCAGCGCGGCCCCACATATGTGAGGCTAACTAAAAAATGTGGAACTGCTAACGCACAAAGTAGTTGTTTTTTTTTTGTTATGGAGGGGGGGGTCACACTCGCGCAAGCCCCCGCGGCGGCGAGAAGCAACGTTGGCTGGTGGGGTGCAGGCCCGCCTGTCCGCCTTGCGCTCGTTTCCGTGCAAGAACGAGCGCTCGTTCTCGCCTGGTGCACCGTGCGCGTTGCCCCCGCTTCGCGCTTCGTCGGCGGTGGGGCAACGACGGAAAATGCATCCTCGTACCAAAATGCAGAACAAAATTTCTAGATTGTCAGAGGGGGAAAATCGTTATATCAAGGTTGTCTCCCGCTGTTACTTTGTTGCATAGAGGTCGCAAATACATGTGCTTCTATGTAGCAATGGTGAAGAATAGAAAAACTTCGTTATATTGAAGAATTTATTATATGGGGGTTCGTTATAAGCAGGTGTAACTGTATTCGGGATTGACTGTATGCGAGTTCGAGGTAACGAGATATTACTATAGTCTAGGGGTGTGCAACTATTCGAAAGTGTCAAATATTCGTCGAATATTGCATTTGTAATGTTCGTATTCATTTCAATAACCACATGTCCGAAAATTTTGAATATTTGAACCAACTCGAATATTCCTTGAATATTCGATGTTCACAAATATTCGTTTGCACATGTCATTTTAAAGAACTCGCGATTTGGCGCATTTGCGATAAGAGCTTCAGTAGATCATGAAGTGATTACTAAGACTTTGGCACGAGTGCGGTGATGCCTGCATATAAATTCATGGGAGCGTGATGTTGGCTACGAACAAATGCAGCAGCACGTTATCACGACAAACCTACCAGCGATAAACATCTCACTCAATCTAAATCATGTACTGCCTGCTCTGCAGTTTGTGTGGCTTAGCGGTTTAGCGCTGTTATGGTTCGTGTAAGCGTACTGGCCACGTCGTCCGCTGCCGCACTTGTGTGCGTGGGACCGCAAGTGCATATCGCTCGTGGAACCAAAGACAAAATAGTCTTCACATTTTTGCTTGGTCCCGTGCTGAGCGAGCATGAAAAAAAAATCTCTACGTAAGGGCAAATGCATGCGTATACGTTACAGGTCACTGGGCTGATGAGGTGAGCTTAGTCGGCGATGCGCTGCACGCAATTATCTAGGGGCGCGCTTAGCTTGACTTACGGTGGTAACGCGTTTCTTGTATAGCCACGTCAGTTTTCTCTAATGGATCCTCGTAGGAACATACGGGCACATGTCGAAGCCTGACGAATCGTCCGTCAGCTGTGCCGCTACTTCAGCATGTTTACTCTTTTCGTAGTTCTCAAATGATTTCATGGTAGCGGATATGGTCATGCAAATGAGCTGAAGTGTTTTTCCGCGCAATGGCAAACATAAAGAAGGCCATGCACTTTCGGAAACGTTACAATGGTGTCATCACATATAGTCTTCCTTTGCTAATTGTGGCGCACATAAGGTGACAGATGGATTACTGCATTGTTCCGCTGTGTTCCTGACAGTGCCTTCAAAAATCCGTCGTATCCACATGGTGCTCGTGCAGCAAATTCTCCTGCAATCAACTCCACTGCTGCGATCTCGCTTTTTTGCTAACGTCAGTTTACTGCTGTTGGCAGCTAGCGTGCCAAAGGGGGGTCGCGATGCGGCAAAATAGGGTCCTCACCGCCGAGAGTTGTGGCTCCGTTAACAAGAAGGCTTATTCGGGGCGTCTTTCTATCACACATCACTAATCATCTATCTCACACGCTTACCTTACGTTATCGCTGCTCGTTCAGTACACCTTGGTCGTGAATGTGCTGCTATCAGCGCTACACGGCATTCTTGATCGGAAAATGGCGAGCGAGCGCTCCTCGAAAAAGGCAACGGAAGCAAGCAAGATAACGAGCATTTCTGTGTAGTTGAAAAATGGCCGAAGTGCTCCTATTTTTCATAGTGGCTTGACAGGTGAGAACAGGAGAGAAAATTGCAAAGAGAGCTATAAAATTGGGGTCTTTCAAGTCAAAACTGATTGTGCGGGAACCTGGATGAATTATGACTACCTAGGCTGCTTTAGTAATCGCTTAGATTTCAGTACACGGGTGCTAACTGTTACACAATCAAACTAGTCATCATAGCAGCTACAAAAGCTTTTCTTTCCTTTTTTTTTATAATAAAAGAAAAAGATACACAAGGTTTTTTCAACAAGTTGATTGAACCTAAGACATCACAGTCACAAGCTCAACTATTAGTCTTATGCTCTCTGGCAAGTACAGATGGTGACATTTTTTTATGTGCAATAAATGACTATAATAACAAGTGTACTGTTTCCAACATAAATATATGATTGAGTAAAAAGATTACCAGTAAAAAAAATTACACCTCTTGAGTATTCGATTCATATTTGAAGCTACGTATTCGTATTCAATTCATATTCGAAAATTTTCATATTTGCACACCCCTACTATTCTCACTGCGCATTTATTTTACAGGACCCATCCAACAAGCAGTTTGCAATCTGTGATGACCAACTGATGAAGGTTTTTGGTGAGTGTTACTTCACTCATGTTCTTGACATTGTTGTGTTACAGTAGCTGACTGATTTTCTGACTTCATGGGCACCGAAAAATAGCCTGAATGAAAACACAGGCGGGAATATCCATGTGTCATCAAAACAAACTTCATTCCCTTTGAAGAGAACTGAAATGGTTAGAAACATGTTAGTCATCATAAAAAGTAACGCATTACCAGTAACACAGTAACTTGTACAGTAAAAGCTCGTTGATTCGAACCAAATCGGGAAGCCGCCTCAGTTCAAATTAATCAGTTCAAACTAACGAAAGTGAAAAACAGCAATAGCACAGTGCGACTCAGTAGGGCATAACAATTTATTTTTTGGAAAAAAAAACTGTGATCGCGGTCTGCCTTTTTTCCTTGAAGATGACAGCCAGCACTTTTTGCTCTAATGAGCGAATTTGGCTGAAGGCCTCTTCTCCGCCTTCTTCAAACCTTCAGAAGAGACGGGGGGGGGCATTCAATCTGGCCATGACTTCCGCAGAAGAGGGCCGCACTGGTGCTTCTTCCTCCTCCTTATCATCGCCACTGGCAGTGATACATTCTGCACTTCTCACCTGACGTATGTTGTCATTCGTGAGTGCATCACACGCCACTGCAGTTGAGTCCACATTGACGTAGTCCGCAATACAGACGTCTACCAAAACGTCCACCATGGTGGCAGTGACGTCAAGTTCGAGCACTGGTAGCTCGTCAGCTTGCAGAGCTTCGGTGCTGAAGCCACAGTGGCGATAGCAATTTGCTATCGTAAGCGCTGTCACTTGTTCCCAAGCATGTACAAGCATGTGTAGTGCACTTAGGAGCGTCACTTATTGAACAAAATAATTTGTTGCAACATTTGACACCAATAAAATTATTTTAAATTTCTATCTCCACCCTTTTCCATGGGCTGCATTACCGCTGTCGTGTTTGCTGAAAGGAAGGCCAGCTCAATGGCCTTCATCTTAACGTTGTTGACTTAATGAGCCAGACAGTTCTCCACATGAAGCAGGCCACAGCATTTGAACTTCTTGTCAAGCTTCCCTAGCCACTGTGCAAACAATGCCCCTGTCATCCAGGTCTTTTTGTTGGCCGCGTAGTCTGAGGGACCAGATGTTCTTGAAGCAATGAGGACTTCTCGATTTGACTATCACGAACAGCGGCAACTTCTCGGTCACGGTCATGTTCGCAGCAACCATCATAGTTATCCGTTCTTGACTTTTTTACCTCCCGTGCACTTGTCACCTTTATTAGTGATAGTTTTGGCAGGCAGCAATTTGAAAAATAAGGCAGTTTCATCCGCATTAAATATGTCCTGCAGAGCATACTTTTCCATGTAGCCTTGAATCACCTCGAAGTGCCAAACGTCCCTCGTTTCCACGTTGACGGCGTTCATTTCACCCTACACAGCACAGAAAACGAGGTTGTAACGCTCGTGAAAATGGTGCAACCACCTATCTGAAGCAGCGAAGTCGTCGTAGTCCAGCTGCAGGGCGGAGTCCGCTGCCTTTGCCAGTATGACTGGGCCACTCAGTGGTATGTCCTGTGAACGCATTTCCTTTATCCAAATGAAAAGCCCTTTCTAGAGGTCAGGATACTTTGCAAGTTGCAACCTCCTTCTTTTGCTCGCAACTTCTGCCTTTAAGGCGTTTTCAATAGTCCTCTTATTTTTTATACAAGTAGATAGCGTCGTTTTCGGTATACTATGCTTTTTTGCAGTTTCTTGCTTTTGCCAGAGTCTGGTGTCCACTTCCCGCAAAATATCAGGTTTCTCTTGAAGTATTTTGGCACGGTATTTGCTGCGGGCACACGCCATCAAGTCGCTGCAGCACAATCGCGACAGATGGAAGCTATTCCTGGCACTAACAACTGAGGCGTACAACGCACGCCCGAGACTGCGACTGCAGATATTGCAGAGACTGCAGAGACTGCAAGGCTGGGCGAATCTACGACGCACCCAATTTGCTGTGTGCTGGTCCTGCCATTTGTCGTTTAGCAGCAACAGCTTTGCATGATTTGCAAAGGCTCAGACATCGGCACTTGAAAAAAAAGCAAATCTTGGAAGTTACGTAGGACGGAGAGGAGGCAGCCGCCGAGAAAGAGAGAGGTTGGGGGAAGTAGCGGAGAATAAGAGGTGCTTTTTTGTACTCTGGCCTCCGCGCCAGTTTCTCTCTTCGTTTTTCTCTCCACTTCCTGTCTACGCCGCCTCATAACTCGGCAGCCGCCCTATCGAGTGGCTAGGTAATAACTACGCGCCACCGCGCCGGTGGCGCGTAGTTATTATCTGTGGCAGAACCTACTCGCGTTGGAATTAACGGGCTTTTTTTATTCATACGCTTGTATGGAGCTTGGCCAAACCATAACTTATACTTTGAATTATCCATAAAATCGAATTATTGAAGTTCAAATTAACGAGCTTTCACTGTAATGCATTACCGTGAACAACACTGTTTGCCCATCGTGAAACTCTCGTCAACAGTGTTAATGGATTTAATGTCTTCTTGCATTGCCACTTGTGGTCAGCTGGTCATGTTATCATCTGTGGTTGAGAGTCGCTTGCTGGAAGCATACTCAGCTAACACATGATCTCTTTGTCTGTAATTTCTAAGTGCAAGGTGTCGTCATTGAAGGTAGCACACTTGAGGGATCTCACAGTTGCCGCAAGGTTCATCCCGCTGGCACGCAGGTCAGCGATTGACTGCTTGCCGTGGTTGACTGCAGCAGCAGTATTGCTAGTAGTGCATCCCTGACCTCTTCAGGGCTGTAAAACCTGGTATGCTTGAAACAGTTGGCAATTGGGGAAGGCTGGATAGCCTTCCACACATCTGTGAGCATGCCATTTGGCGAGAAAAGGTTGCCCCGCCACGGTGGTCTAATGGCTAAGGTACTCGGCTGCTGACCCGCAGGTCGCGGGTTCGAATTCCGGCTGTGGCGGCTGCTTTTCCGATGGAGGCGGAAATGTTGTAGGCCCGTGTACTCAGATTTGGGTGCACGTTAAAGAACCCCAGGTGGTCGAAATTTCCGGAGCCCTCCACTACGGCGTCTCTCATAATCATGTAGTGGTTTTGGGACGTTAAACCCCACAAATAAAAAATATGAGAAAAGGTTGATGAAGTGCAGCTTCCATTGCGGAGGCACATAAGTTTGTGGCCAAGTAGGCGGGCCCAGTAATCAATATTTAGGTCCTAAATGATGCCTTCATCTATCAACTGGTGAGCTGACTTGTCTTCATTAATATTCAGGTATATCGCTTGAAGGTTTCGTATAGTGCCAAGCGCCCCGCAGTTACGAAAGGTTATCACTTGCTGTTTCTGGTACCGTAACATTCGGTACGAATAGTGAAGACATTCTTTGAGCCAAAAATATGTAATTCAAGTCTTCGTGTACGACATGGGCTGATTCTTAGCAAATTTCAGAAGCTGCCTGTCACCAGCAAAGGCAGCTTCTCGCTGCCATTCACGTTATTTCCCACTTTGGCTCATACCTGCCATGTATCTCGGATTGTCCAGGAGACTCCCAGATTTCGACAGTTTCTTCCGTTTGTATGGCTCTCATCAAAATCTCCCGAAAATCGAAATTCTTGTGTGTGATCTTGCCGCATTGACAGGGATGCAGGTCAGTCCGCTCCAGGCTTTTTGCGAACACACCGAATTTTATTATAAAGGAATTTAGGAGGCGTTTATCTAAACATACAGTAGCCTCAGTGATGTGAAATTGCAGAAGATTCGAATTCGTGAAATTCGCCAGCCAAATTCCACTTTGTCCATTAGGCTAAAATTTGAATGTTCTGAACACTTTTCCTAATCGTGGTGTATGATATGAACTTTAGTACTGAAACCGTCGAATTAAGGTAGATCGAGAGCAGCGTGCTTGAAGCTTCAGAAGTACGCTTGCGACCAGCGCACTTACTGTCATCTACAGTGTGTGTGGTTGCGACAACCACTGTGGATGAAACTGTGGTCATTCTTGACAAGATATATAAATGGTGACGACGTTACTTACAGTTCTCTGAAAGTGTGCGCGCGTCCAACTCTCGACCAGTCAAAACAGCCGTGCTTTCTACACACTTTGTGGACAAGACCGCGTCAGATGCGATTGTAATATAAAACGACTTAGTTTTGAAGGCACGTGCGCAGCCAACACATGGGTTGAACACGGAACTACAGTTTGCCGCAACTGCTGCGCACGAAACCGCGGTCTCGGTGATGCGATAGCAATCTACGAGCTCGGAGGGCACATGGCTAACTCAGCGGTAGATTAAAAAAGGCTAGAAGCGTTTGGCGTTCCTGTCCAAAGAATCTAATATAGCAAGCAAAGCCAAAGCTTTGACCCACGCTTTCACGGCAGCCAGCTGCGCGGTCCTGTCCGTTCATGTGTGTCCCAGGCAGACATATGAGAGTTTTTTTGACGGAAATAGATTTTTCTAGTTGTTTTGATGACGCAAAATATCGAAAGTTTTTGCGCTCCCATTTGAGACTCGCCTTAGTGGGAAACCTAGCTCGTGTGTTCGGCCACTCCAAGCCATTATAAGACTGCAACGTGGATGTTGGTGCTTTCGATTGGACCCCCCCCCCCCCCCCCCCCCTTCTTGTCTTTTGTTTTTGTGTGATGTCTTGTTTTTTTCGTTCCAAAATATATTGGGGAAAATAATTTAGCTCGCCTACGCTCGACCCCCTCCTCCTCTTGTGGAAATCTCCCAGATTCGCAATCCTTGAACTTGACAGGTATGGTAACTTTACCCGCTTATTCCTTTGCTTCCCATAAGTGCAGGCCTCTCTCAAAAGAGAAAAAAAATATTCTCGCAGAATTTTGAAAAAAAAAAAAGTCCGTTTTGTCAAAACTTATGTGTCTGCAGGGAGCATACTTGCTAGCTCCTCTAGTAGTTTGTGACAATGGTCAGATCAATGGCTCTGCCCTGCCTACAAATTTTTTAAAGTGAAACTCTGTGTATTTTGAGCCATCATGACATTTTTATTTAGACTATTGCTAAAACC